TGTCAGTGTGTGTGCGCGTGTCAGTGGCGTCCCACTGTGTGTCAGTGTGTGTGCGCGTGTCTCAGGCGTCCCACTGTGTGTCCGTGTGTTTGCGTGTCTCAGGCGTCCCACTGTGTGGGGAGAGGCTGGTGCTGGCCGGTGTCGGAGACAGACCTGCTGTGCGTTCGGCTCTTGCCTGTGCAGCGCAGCAGGGTCTCGGGAGATGAGAGAGTTGGAGAGTGGGACTATGGAAGGTGTGAGAGACGTCCCTAGACTGAGCTGCTCTCCAGGTGGACTGCCTGTGTGCGATAGTCCTGGGGAGCCATGCTGTGTGTCAGGCAGGGCTGTCTCTCTCTCCATCTCTCTCTCTCCCCTCCTTCCCTCCCTCCCTCTGGCCTGTAGCCTGTCCTCTGTGTAGCCTGTCCTCTCTCTGGTCTGGAGCCTGTCCTCTGTGTAGCCTGTCCTCGGTGCAGCTCTGACAGACGCCAAGTGAGATTCGTAGACGCCTGCGTGGGATAGGAGGGTGATGTTTAGGTTTGACAGGTATTGCTTCTTTAACGGGCGCTGACACTCATGCGTGAGGACACTGACCCCCCCCTCCCCCCCCCTCCTCTCTCTGTCTCGCGGTGGCAGATATCCGGCTGCGGGTGCGAGCGGAGTACTGCGAGCACGACGCGGCCCTGCGCAGCAGCGTGTCCTCGGACAAGCGCCAGCCGCTGGAGCGCCAGTTCGAGCTGTTCGGCCGCGCCAGCACGGTGCTGCGCTCCCGAGACCTGGGCTCCATCCTCTGCGACATCAAGTTCTCCGAGCTCGCCTACCTGGACGCCTTCTGGGCCGACTACCTCAGCGGCGCCCTGCTGGAGGCGCTCAAGGGCGTCTTCATCACCGACTCGCTGAAGCGCGCCGTGGGCCAGGAGGCCGTCCGGCTGCTGGTCAGCGTCGACCAGGACGACTACGAGGAGGGGCGGCGCCTCCTGCTGGAGGCGCAGAACGGCCCCTGCTGCCCTCTTGCCCCCGACGCGCCCCGGGCGCGCCAGACCCGCAGCGCGGCACGGTGAGCTTCCTGTCCCAGAGCAGTCTGGGATAGCCCCCACTCTGCCCCTCCCTCACCCCACCCCACAGCACAGCGAGCCTCCTGTCCCAGGGCGGTCTGGGATAGCCCCCACTCTGCCCCTCCCTCACCCCACAGCACAGCACAGCGAGCTTCCTGTCCCAGAGCAGTCTGGGATAGCCCCCACTCTGTCCCTCTCTGACTTCTCACTGAGTCGCCTCTTCTGTTGCATGTGCCTATGTAATACCACTGACAGCCAGGAGAGGGAAGGCTTTACCATGTTTTTAAACAGCAAATTTACAGTAACCATACAGCCCCTCTCTCTCAGTGCAGTGTTCATGTACTGGAGTGTCCAGTCAGTGTGTCTGTATGAACCCCTCTCTCTCTCAGTGCAGTGTTCATGTACTGGAGTGT